CTGAGTACACCCACTCATTTCCCACCATCTCCAAAAGGAGCAGCTTTTAACTATGACTCTGATGCAGGGCTTTGAACTGTGACCTAAAGACGAAAGGCTCATCACCAATCTTATCTGCTCATCAAAGACCAGACAGCAGGGGTGATGTGTAATCGAGGCTCACTGGCACCTCTGCTGCCTGTCCTGACAGAGTTCTGCTGGGGCCAGCTATGGACATGAAGACATTATGGAGCCACAGAGATGGTTCTAGAACTTCTGACCTTCTTGTGACAAGTTTCTATCATAACTTAAGATTATGTAGACATGTTCTCATGAAGAATAATGATAAATTTGAAGGAAATATAATATCCCTAAGTTAGAATTTTACCTTTTTGAGCTTATTCTCCAAGAGAAAGCTTCTAAGTTATGTGGCCTCTGACATCCAAGGAGGATGCATATGTGTGTGTGTGTGTGTGTATGTGTGTGTATGTGTATGTGTGTATGTGTTCATTCTCATTTGCTGATTATTTTATGCTTGTTCCCTATAGACTGAGAATTACTGCATAAGATGATAACATGTTCTGGGGGAGCTAGGAGGGTAGTAGAAGGCATATATCTTTACCTTGGAAATTCTGCAGGAAAATGACATGGGCTTTCCATATATTTGTATTCATCTGTGCTCATAAATGGACAACCTAGAATTTCTATTTCTAAATTCTGAAGGATTATTTGACCATAGAGTTGCAGGTCCAAATCTGGGGTCTCTACTCTGTTCCACTGGTATATGTGTCTGTTTTTGCGCCAGTACCATGCTGTCTTGGTGATCACAGCTTTGTAGTAAAGCTTGAAATCAGGCAACGTGATGCCCCCAGTTTTGTTTCTCTTTTTCAACATTTCCTTAGCAATTTGGGGTCTCTTCTGGTTCCATACAAATTTTAGGATTGTTTGTTCCAGCAATTTGAAAAATGCCAGTGGAATTTTGATAGGAATGGCATTGAAAGTATAGATTGCTCTAGGCAGTATAGACATTTCAACAATGTTTATTCTTCTGATCCATGAGCATGAAATGCTTTTTCATCTTTTCGTGTCTTCTTCAATTTCTTTCATGAGTGTTCTGTAGTTCCTCGAGTATAGATTCTTTACCTCTTTGGTAAGGTTTTTTCCCAGGTATCTTATGGTTCTTGGTACTATAAAAAATGGAATTGATTCTCTAATTTCCCTTTCTATATTTTCATTGTTAGTGTATAAGAAAGCAGCTGATTTCTGTGCATTGTTTTGTATCCTGCCACATTACTGAATTGCTGTATGAGTTCTAGTAGTTTGGGGGTGGTGTCTTTTGGGTTTTCCATATAAAGTATTATGTCATCTGCAAAGAGAGAGAGTTTGACTTCTTCTTTGCCAATTTGAATGCCTTTTATTTCTTATTTTTGTCTGATTGTTGTTGCTAGGACTTCTAGTACTATGTTGAACAACAGTGGTGAAAGTGGGCATCCTTGTCCTGTTCCTGATCTCAAAGGGAAGGCTGTCAGCTTTTCCACGTTGAGAATGATATTCACTGTGGGTTTTTCATAGATAGATTTTTATGAAGTTGAGGAATGTTCCCTCTATCCCTATACTCTGAAGTGTTTTAATCAGGAAGGGATGCTGTATCTTGTCAAATGCTTTTTCTTCATCAATTGAGAGGACCATGTGGTTCTTCTCTCTTCCCGTATTAATATGTTCTATCACATTGATTGATTTGCAAATGTTGAACCACCCTTGTATCCCAGGGATAAGTCCCACCTGGTCATGGTAGATAATCTTTTTATTATACTGTTGGATTGGCAAAGCATGGAAAAAATATACAGTGGAAAAAAGACAGTCTCTTTAATATATGGTGCTGGGAAAATTGGACAGCTATGTATAGAAGAATGAAGCTTGACCATTCTTTTACACCATACACAAAGTTAAATTTGAAATGGATAAAAGACCTCAATGTGAGGCAGGAATCTATCAAAATCCTAGAGGAGAACATAGGCAGTAACCTCTTCAACATCGGCCACAGCAACTTCTTTCAAGACATGTCTCCAAAGGCAAAGGAAACAAAAGTGAAAATGAAGTTTTGGGATTTCATCAAGATCAAAAGCTTCTGCACAGAAAAGGAAACAGTCAACAAAATGAGGAAGCAACCCATGGAATGGGAGAAGATATTTGCAAATGATACACTATAGACAAAGGGCTGATATCCAAGATCTATAAAGAACTCCTCAAACTCAACACTCAAAAAATAGATAATCACGTCAAAAAATGGGCAGAAGACATGAACAGACATGTCTCCAAAGAAGACATACAAATGACTAACAGACACATAAAAAAATGTTCATCATCATTAGCCATCAGGGAGATTCAAATCAAAATCATATTGAGATACCACCTTACAACAGTTAGAATGGCCAAAATTAACAAGACAGTAAACAACAAGTGTTGGAAAGGATGTGGAGAAAGGGGGAACCCTCTTACACTGTTGGTGGGAATGTAAGTTGGTGCAGCCACTTCGGAAAACAGTGTGATGATTCCTTGAGAAATTAAAAATAGAGCTACCCTATGACCCTGCAATCATACTACTGGGTATTTACCCAAAAGATACAGACATAGTGAAAAGAAGGGCCATCTGTACCCCAATGTTCATAGCAGCAATGGCGACAGTTGCCAAACTGTGGAAAGAGCCAACCTTCAACAGACAAATGAATAAAGAAGATATGGTCCATATATACAATGGAATATTATGCCTCCATCAGAAAGCATGAATACCCAACTTCTGTATCAACATGGACAGGACTAGAGGAGATTATGCTGAGTGAAATAAGTCAATCAGAAAGTAAATCATCATATGGTCTCACTTACTTGTGGAGCATAGGGAATAACATGGAGGACATTGGAAGAAGGAGAGGAGAAGGTAGTTGGGGGAAAACAGAGGGGGAGATGAACCATGAGAGACTGTGGACTCTGAGAAACAGACTGAGGGTTTTGGAGGGGAGGGGGATGGGAGGCTGGGTGAGCCTGGTGATGGGTATTAAGGAGGGCATGCATTGCATGGAACTGGGTGTGATGCATAAACAATGAATCTTGGAACACTGAAAAAATAAAATAGTTTAAATTTAAAAAAAAGTCACACACACACACACAAATAAATAAATTCTGAAGGAAATCCACAATTAACATGTCTTATCTATGACTGAAAGATTGGTGCTACTATTTTTTTTTTTAAGATTTTATTCATTTATTTTTCAGAGAGAGAAAGAGAGAAAGCACAAGCAGGGGGAGTGGCTGGCAGAGGGAAAAGCAGGCTCCGCCCCCAAACAAGGAACCTGATGCCGGACTTGATCCCAGGACCCTGGGATCATGACCTGAGCTGAAGGCAGACTCTTTAACTGACTGAGCCACCCAGGCGTCCCCTGGTGCTACTTTGTAATTAAATGAGAATAAGTAGACGAGTAATCTATGAGGAAGCTGAATTTGACTGGGACATGTTTGAATTTCTGTTGTGCTCCCCTACCCTTGGTTAGCAGAGAGGCTAAAAAGAATTTACCCAGTGTTCAAGAGAGGAGAGCTAGGTTTTCTGGAAAATGTGGACAGAAGTTTGTGTGGTATTTTCTATTTTTCTCTCCAGGTCTACTCACCATCTTTCTCCACCCACTGACTATACTGGATGCTACTTTGCCCTCGGTCTTTTAGTGGGTTTGACAGTAAGAGGCACCTATGGTATGTAGGGAGCAGGAGGGGGGTAAGGTCAGGATATTTATTCTCTTGATTCCCTTCCTGCGAGGTTGCTGTGGGTTGTCTGTGTCCATCTACCTATGACCATAGCTCCTGTTGGAAAGTCCCTCCTCTCTCCAGACTAAGACAGATTCTTCCTCCTCTTGCCCTTTCAGCAATATGGTAGTAACAGCTCCCTGTTGTCGCTAGACCTGCAGCTGGTTTTCTTACACTCTGCCCCTCTTTGTATATAATCTATATATTAGACTTTCCTCTGTTACCATGTTTGATGTGTCATCTTTTTCTTCATGGGTTTGGACTATTATACTTTATTTTATCCTTTAAATAAATACTAAATAAATACTAGGTTTATTTAGTATTTATTTATAATAATAAAATACTCTATTTTATCCTTTGATGACAAAGACAGAAGCTCATACACACTAGTTAAAGTACAAAGTGAATTTACTGAAAGGACACAGGAGAGGTAAGGGATATACACCAAATCATCTGGAAAGTCAGTTTCCAAAACTACATCTTCAGTCTCTGGTAGTACTATGCCTTTTCTTATCTCTGATTTTTCTGTAAATCTGCTTGTTTCTGCTGCTTTCTACATATTGGCATTTTCTCTCTGTCTCATGGATTATTACTTTTTAAAAATTTGTTTGGCCATGATAGAAACTCTGGCTTTGATCCTACTTAACATTTTAATCAGGGAGTCCCTACCAATTAACTGTTTCTCTGTGTCCTATTTCCTGTATCCCAAGAAAGAGAATCAGAGAGGCCCATTTTGAGTTATGTCCATTTATGGTCCTTTCAGGTATGATGGAAGGCAGAGGTACACAAGACTATTCTTTCCAGTGGATGTGAACTTTCTTTCCTCCAAGAAAGTTGTGTGGTTGGAGACCATTGCTAGCATCTCTACACAGTACAGTGAGTCAATCTTGTGAACAGTATCTGATTAAAATTCCAGGTGGGAGAGTTGGCTAATTTAGTCCTTAAGTCATTTGGAAAGGCAATTTATCTCTTTCATTCCTTAAAAATTTCAGTAGAAAGACATTCAATAATTCTAGAAACCTTGGAAGAAAGCTCTTCTGATGATTTTTTTACCCCTTATATCTAACCTGCTGTGGACTTTGTTCATTTATTTCTAATTTCCTGCCTTTAATGGTAACCAATACACTATTCATGTGACCCTAATGGAATCCTTGGTGGCTATGATTGAAAGTAATTAATGAGATATAGAGACAGTCCTGATCTTTCTTTAAGATAAACATTATATCCTTGCCACCACAGCTGCTGCTGTGACCAAGATGGCTGAGAGACCCACTGCCTATCTCAAGGATGCCTGGGCCAGGGAGCTGGTGCTGGTCGCATTCTTTACCACTGGGGCAGGGGGGGCGGCTTACTATAATTCTGCCCTCCTCTGCCTTCCTCATGGCACCAAATATGCCATGATGATCAACCAGGTCACAGCCTATAACCAACCAGTGCCCCCCCAAGATGATGGAAACATGCCCCACATGCCCAGCCACCCCCAGGACCTCCAGGGCCCAAGATTGGAGTGGCTAAAGAAATTGTGAGCACCTCTGGTGACATGGAGGAGGCCCCCTCCCCTGTGGCCAATAACATATGAAAAGTGACTCCAGGAAAAAAGAAAAGGGTAAACATTATATCGTACTTGGGAGTGAGCCTGTATTAAAATCAGGTTTTCAGTCCCCACTTAAATATGAGTGGAAAGCCAAATATTACAAAACACCTGAGGTAAGCCTCTAACATTTGAGAGAAGAAGAGAGAGGTAGGGAGAGAAAGAGGGAAGGAAACAGAAAGAAAGCATCCTGGAAGAAACAGAGATTAAACAGGAGAAGGAAATTTTAAAAATTAAGGCATATCATTAATATGGGGAGATAAGAGAAGGCATAGCCTGCATGAAGTAAGAAAGGAATATCATTTATACATGAAATAAGAAAGAATACTATTTAAAAATGAATATTCAGCAGATAAAAAATAGACTCTTAAAATTTAAAAATATAATAAGAAAAATGAAAAACTCAGTACAAAGGTGGAAGATAAGGTTGAGTAAATGTCCCTGAAATAAAGATAGAAGGAGATGGAAAGTAGAGGATGAGATATTAATAAAAATGGTTTTTAAGAACAGTTTGAGAGGTCCAACATCTGAATAATGAAATTCCCTGAAGAAGGGAATAGAGAAGATGGAGAGGAGAAATTCATCAACCAAACTATTCAAGAAAAGTTTTTCTGAAGGACATAAGCTTCCAGACTGGAAGCGTTCATTAAGAACCCCCAAAATGGATGAAAACAGACCCACATCAAGGGCTCTTCATTATAAGATTTCAGAATACTGGTGACAAAGAAGATCCTACAAGCTTTCAGAAAGACAACAAGTAAGTCACATAAAGGATTGCGATCAGAATGGCTTTTGACTTCTCAAAGGCAAAATTAGGATGTAGAGAACCATAGAGCAATATGCTTTCAAATTATTGGCAACCCAGAATTTGATACACAATCAAAGGATCAGTTGGATATGTGATGGGGTGGGGAGGAAATCTTCAGATGTACTAATTCTCAAAACTATTTCCTTCCCACATACCTTTTTTTGGAAGTGACTGGTAGACGAAAATAAAGGTGTAAGCTAAGAGAGATCTAGATATGAGATACAGGAAGCTGGGAGCAAAAGGATTCTGCAGAAGGACAGTGAAGGGAGATACCAGGAAGACAGTGAGTGTTTCAGGCATAGAGGTATGGAACAGATTAGATAGTTCCTGAACACACTTCTTCAGGAAGATGAAATTAATAGACTGTCCCATGTGTTGGAAGTTTTGAGAAGAGATTTGGATAACTGTTAAAGATAGGTATTAAATTAATGAGAAGTACATAGAAAATGAAGTAAATAAAGGCAGTAAGGCAATCATTAATTCCAGGGAAAATAAAAAGTTGCACAGAGAAGGAAAAATAATCAGAGTTATTACATGTGAATAGTATTTATATAGTAATAATACTATAAACTCCAAATATTGGTCTATCTAAAATTATAAAATTGTATTTATTTTGGGAAGAGGAAAAGATGGGAAAGGTGCATGAGTACAGTGAGATGGAGAAAAGAAAAAGAATAAAATCTTTAAATTTTGTAGTGGGAGGTGCATAAAGAATGCATAAGACTGGAAGAAAAAAACAACTGAGAAGTAGATTTACAAAACTTATTTAAAGACTTAGAGACCAATTTCATTTAATTGGTGTAAAGTCATGAAAGTAATTACTTCATGAAAGGGGGATATGAAGCTGAGGGAGATAAGAAACTACCATTTTTTTGGTAATAAACCTTGTAGAATTATTTGACTATTAACTTTAAACATGCATGTTTATCTGATTAAAAAATTATTTAAAAAATCAATAAAAAGAAAATTAATTAAATAAGTAAAAATACACACACCCCAGATAGCCATTGGTAAGCAATTGGAATTAGTGAACAAAGCAAATGCATCCTGGTTTGGGCAACATGAAAATCGCGAGGGCAGGAAAATCATTTTTATGAATATTATTAGAGCATTGCATATTTTGAAGAAATGGATTGTGGAGTTGGACTCATTAGCATTGACACCCATCACCGCAAGGTGTGTGGGGCACAAGCTTCACCTTGATCTTTTCATTGTGGGCAGCAAGGTGACAGGCCAGGTCAAAAGGTAAGGGACTGTCATTCTAGCTAAGAAGGCGTAGACTTCAGGTATAGACAGATAAGAGGTCAATTTCAGGGTGATCAGCCCAGACAAGTATTAGAGATCTAGGCAGGTAGAATCCAAAGGCTGGGTTGTCAGAGATAGCAAGGGGGTAACAGAGGGCAGATCTCAACTCTGCTTAGTCCTAAGGGGAGGGGATTTGGCTTTGTAGACTATTTCATATTGCTTGCTTGGCACAGGTGTAGTTTGGAGCCCAAAACTGCTGGAAGCCTATAGGTAGAGCCCTCGTTTGTTCGCTCTCTGCTCTTCCTCTCTTTGACAGCTGAATTCCTTTGCCATTCTCTGTACGTGTCACTTTTAGCTGTGTGCTTAGCCCTGCTCACGAACCTGGGCCCAGTCCTCCATCAGCAGCTGCCAAGCTTTGTATAATCATCTGCAGTCATCCTCTGATGTTGGCAGGATAACTGAGTTCTGTTTTTTAACCTCGATTTTCCAACAACTGCTACTTTGCCCTGAGCTCCGGTCACCCCTGACTATTCCGAAGCCTGACCTCCTAAAGGCAGTCACATGGTAAACGTGCACACCACTTGGAGATCCTTTGTTCCCAGTCAGGCAGAAAATCTGTGCCACAGACCCTACTTTCACCTCTGGCCAAGGTGTTATTTGTATCTCATCTTCTTTTTCTTAGTGTAGACGAAGCTTTTGTACCCAGGTCTTTGCCAGTCTTTTAGTTCAATAAGGCCCCAAGTCTTGGCCTTATTCTCATGCTAGGAATTTATTGAGCATTTACAGTCAGCCTATCTGAAATCTTCCAGACACACTTTGCATGGTTTTCATGGATTACTGACACCATTTTCTGGAGGAAGAAACTGTATTTTAATGATAGAAGGAGACTTGTCCATGGTCAAAGTAAGAGAGCAGGGCGGGAATTCAAACACAGGTCATATGGCTCCAGGTCTGGGCTGGGATTACAAGGCTCATTGCCTCCTGCAGTCTTTGTTTGAGCTCTAGGATCTACTTATATTCCCAGGCCTTGCCTTGTCTGACTCAGCTTACCCTGCTTCCAAACCCTGGATCTGGTAGCAGGTGAATCTTGCCTCTGCCCGACGTGGAGGCCAACGTGCCAGGTTATTTTCACAGAATTCGCTTCCATGGAGTTCCTAGGTATTCTATTAGTTCCCCTCATAGTCTCATGCCCCAGGGAAGTTCCCTAGTTCTTAAAAATGTGGTTCCCAGACCTGGTGTCCTGGTCAGGGGGTGTCTGATAGGGTCAAGTCGTCGCTTGGGTTATTGTTGAATGTGCTTAAATCAAATGTGTTCAGGAAAAAAAGAGCAGGAATATGTGTTTCTTTTTCTTTTTAGAAAGATTTTATTTATTTATTTGAGAGAGAAAATGAGTGAGAGAGGCAAGAGCACAAGCTGGGGGAGGGATAGAAGCAGAAGGAGAGGCAGGTTCTCTGCTGAGCAGGGAGCCCAGTGCGGGACTTGATCCCAGGACCCTGGGGTCATGATCTGAGCTGAAGGCAGACGTCCAACCAACTGAGCCACCCAGGCACTCCAGAAAGATATGTTTTTATCTTGGGTTGCTAGGCCACCCAGCTAGTAGGTTCCTTACCATCCATGTCAGGAAATAGGAAACAGGGAATAGGAAATAGAGGGGGAAATATGAGAAATCACTTTGTTCGACACCTGACCTTATACCATGGAGTATGAAAAAACTGTCTTAGAGGCCTGTAATGAAGAAGTTGGAGCAAAACAAAAAATCATACGAGAGAGACTGCAGGTCAAGACAGATAGGAAAGAATCTGATGTCAACGTTCTTGAGAGCTAAAGAAGGCTAGATTCACACACGGATAGTTTGGTGTTAAATGTGCCAGATGTCTCTTTGTTACAACTTACTTTATTTCCTCCCCCCGCCCCGGCGCGGATTGCTTGACATGCCCATATGATAAAATAGTGGCAATCACAGCACTTTCCGGAAGGTGTATACCTGGACCTGGACTGAGGCGGGAAGCTGTGACTTGCTTTGCTCTTACAACAATATAAGGCAGTTGTAAAATTTAATACTTTTTTTCCTTTTACATAGTTCACTACCCACTCACTAATCTCCTTGGCATTTGGCTTCCGTCAGTTCCTCCTTGGCTAGTTTGCCTGCATGTTTTGGGGGTGTTTGCCCCCTGCTCCACATATGGAGGAATACACCTGCTTGGTCCTGGTCCCCAGTTAAGTCAGGGCTTTTCCAAGCTTTTGAACAGCGAGCCTGCTGACACCGTCTGAGTGCCTCTCTGAGCAGGGATTCCATGATTGATGTTGGGAAAGAGTAAATAAATTTCAGTAAGTACACACAAGAGTGGATCAGGACAGTAAGTGCTTACTATGTGCAATCAATGGGCATTATTTTAAAGGAGATTAAAATTTCCTGGACTTAATCCTCCCACTAGAATTGCATTGGTGGCAGCCGATGAGTTACTGTTTTCTCCAGGGAGGGAGTGAGAAGAGCATCTGTGCCTTTTGAGTAAAATCCTGTAGTAAAATAAGCAGTTTAGAAATCTGTTCCGTTTGGAACTCAGTTCTCTGAGAAAATATGTGTTTGTAGTGTACTAAGTCGAAGAAGAGGATTCTGGGCAGCAAATGTCTGCAGATTGGAAGTGACGCTGAGCTTTATCTCTTCCCGCAACATTCTCGGGCATCGTGCGGCTCCTCTATTTTACAACATATATGGTAGAATCAGATGTTTGGTGGAGGCTGGCACAGGCCTTTGAGCCTGCCCAGTACTCTAGAGCGTACTTTGCTTTCCAACAGCGAGCTGCACTGATGGAATATGGTGTCTTGGCTGCAACTTGAAGCCTAACTTTTTTCTAAACATGATGATTTATTTTCAGAAGCTG